ATCAACTAATTGTATTTGTCTTAAATAAAGTCGACTCTATATTATTTTGATATGAAATGCTTCATTAACCTATAATTGGTTGTAAATAAACTTATTTAATTATAATTACCTTTCAATTAATAAGTTCAATTACATTTTCGATGCATTATGGAGTAATTACATGATCAACTAACTGTATTCGTCTTAGATAAAGTGATCAATTGATTATTTTTATATGAAATGCTTCATTAACCCATAGTTGATGATAAATAAAGTTATTTAATTATAATTACCTTTCAATTAATAAGTTCAATTACATTTTTGATGCATTATAGAGTAATTACATGATCAGCTAACTGTATTCGTCTTAAATAAAGTGATCAATTGATTATTTTGATATGAAATGCTTCTTTAACCCATAATTAGTGATAAGTGAAGTTCAATTATAAGTTCAATTACAATAGATAACCTATCTGTTGCAATAGATAACTCATCTGTTGGAACTAATCAAATAAATATGATCATTTGTTGCAACAAATATATAAATCTGTTATAACAAATGTCTAATATGTATTATCTGTTGCAATAGATGACCCATCCGTTGAAAATAATCAAGCATATAAAATATTGTCATCGGCTATTACAAAATATGATTAACTAAATATGTTAAGTGTTCATGAATTACAAATCATTTAAAATTCTCCAGCTTACAAAATAGAATTCATGATAAAATAACTTGACATCTATTAAATATAAAATATTGTCATCAGCAATTACAAAATATCAGGTTCTTCACCTTACAAAATATGACTTCAGCAACTCATACCCTCTACAACTTCTGTTGCTCTTCTATGGCTCCTGAAGATGACTCAACATTGCAAGGAAGGGGATTAGTTGCAATTTGTTGTTTTTTTTCATATTTGATAATATCTTGGAAATTGATTTTCTTCTCCTCTTAATCTTCAATGGTGTGAATGACTTCGAAATTTTTCTTGATGGAATAACACCTCTCTTAGATATCAATTCCTTAACAGCACTAGTAAGAGCATCAAGAGACTTCTTCACATCTTCACCAGTAGATATTAACCGAGCCTCTTTATTCTTGCATTCTTCACATTTACATGCAGAACATGAGTTAGAAGAAGGAGCAAAAGATGTGGTATGTCCACTGAAAGGGCTGAATCCACCATATATACCACCAACATCATCAACATGCTCACAACCACTTTTAGCACCAGCATCACCAATATCAACACCAATATTAACATCAACATCAACATCTAATGCAACATCATCAGCATCACCATAAACAATAGGTGCTTCCCATCTGATCGTTGTTGCTCCAGCCAATTCTTTTTTTTATCAGATCCACTGTAGGGTCTGATTTTGTGTCAATAATTCCTAGAGTTAAAAAGAATGGCATTTGCAACTCTTGCTCTGTGGGAACAAGCCATGGATGTACAATCTATAAACAAAAATAGTTTATATTAAAACTAATCTATAGGTTATAATAGATAAAATATTTATTGTAATATTTACCTATATATTTTATTTCTAACAGATGACCCATATGTTGCAACAGATGGGAAATCAATTGGAAGAAAGCAAAACAGTAGCAAATGATCAAATTTTCTTACAACAGATTACTTATATGTTGCAGCAGATAGGTCATCTGTTGGAAGTAAGCAAAACAACAGCAAACTATTGAGATTTCGTCCAATAGATGACCCATCTATTGCAACTGATCGGTAAACTGTTGGACGAAAGCAAAATAGCATAAAAAGTTTGAGATTTCGTTCAATATATGACATATCTGTTGCAACAAATAGGTCATCTGTTGAACCTAAATAAAACAACAACAAATGATAAAGTTTTCATCCAACAAATGACACATTTATTACAACAGATCAGTCATCTGTTGGGCAAAAGCAAAACAGTAGCAAACTCGTATGTTTTCTTCCAACAGATGACCCTTCTATTGCAATAGATGATTATAGATGAGTCATATATTGGAAGAAAACTAAACGAAAGCAAAACAGATAATCAGTTAATTTAAATAAATATTATTCTATAGGAGACTTACTATATCATGAGGAGGATCGAAGAGATCAACATAATTTATTTTTGGGTTGTTCTTGGCAGACAACCACCTAAGAATCCTTGGTTGAGAAATTTCTTTCGAGTAATCATTGAATTGCTTCCTCAGGTAAGGTATTGCTTCAAATGTCCAAGCCTAAAAATATAAAGATGATGAAAATAAAATTTTGAAATAATTATTCAATAACACAAATAAATAAAATACTAAAATTAGATGTGAAGTTTATGACATTGTTGATGTCTTCAGCCCATAAAATGGCATGCACAAACCAAACTAAGCACATTCGCTCTTTGTGCTTCTTCAAAACCTTTTTGCTCTGGAGATCTTCTATCAAATCTTTGACTTTATAACTAGGTCCAGTAATAGCCAACAACTCATTTTCATTATTTAGTTTTTCTTTGCCTTTGTTGGTTTTGGTGTTGATTGTATTGACTGGTCTTTTTACCTTTCTTTGCCAACCTTGACTGATTTAGATATCTTTTTTTCTCTTGACTTTCTTAAGCGTGCAACTTTAGGAAGAAGGTTCAGAAGGAGGATGACATCTCAGTCCAGTCACTATGGCAAATTCTTTCATGCCAAAACAAATTGGCATGCCACATTAGTTTATCCAAATCTCATCCATTTTCTTGTTCTTATCCTCCAAAGTATAAGAATCATCTCCCTTATACTTAATCCTGCGCTTGAGAAGATCATACACCATGCTCATTTGAAAACGTGCATTGTTAGCCTCCGGCAGATCAAGAAAGTATCCAAAACAGCTAGATTTAAAGAAATCCTCCAACTTTTCATTCATCAATATCGTTCTAAAAGCATCAAATTTGGCACCCATGGCTGATTTTACAACAAAATCACCTGTCAAATTTGTAGGGTCATCTATAGGCATCTCTACCTGAAACTTGTAAATATTAAAAGTTTTGACAATATCTTCATCTCCTTCCTCACTTTCAGTATCATCTCTTTCATCATTTTCATTTTCATCTCCATCCTCTTCATCTCCTTCCTCACATTCTTTTTCACCTTCCTCCTCATCTTCTTTATCATTTTCAGTTTCTTCATCATCTCCATCTTCATAATTTATTTCCTTTTCTTCTTCATTTTTACTTTTATCTACCTCCTCTACAATTTTCATATTTTCATTATGTTTCTGTACAACAAGTTCTTCTAATGGTGTTTGTA